AAAATAAAATTTAAAAGTTTTAATTAATTAATTTTTGTATAAGTTGGTTGATCTTTTGACCTAGCCGATAGGGTGAACCGTTTTCAGTTTGACTGATTCGCTGGTTTAACTGCGATTTTAGCGGTTTTGTCAAAATATATTGGTTAAATTTGTTTGATTCGAAATAAATTAAATATTGATCTAATTAAAGATTAAATGGTTATGATTGCTTGATTTGAAATAAAATTCCCGCCCAAACAATTGTTAACTTTTAAACAATTAAGAAAATCTCCATTGGCGCTTTTATTTAACTTTAATTTTATAATCTCACATCGAGAAAGAAGAAAAACTGAATTGTTTCACTTATATAAAGTAAATCTTATACTCCCATTTATATCAACAAAATGAGATTTTAGTGAGAAGTCTTATAATCAATATCTCATATTAACTTTTTTGATTTTCTTAATTTTAAACAATTAAGAAAATCCTGATTGGCTAACTTCCATTTAACTTTTATTTTACATAATATAAAAAAATTAAATATAATTATCATATTTTTATTAAATAATATAATATTTTATCCCGTACATAGCACGGTGATATGCTAATTAATTATAGAACTGAATACAATCTCCTCACATGAGTTGAGATTCACAAAAAGATGGAACTCAACTCATGTAAAGGGTTGTATCAGATATCTCGCAATTAATTTATGTGTTCTTAAACTTTTTTAGAACATATGCTACAACCCTAAATTGCAAAGTTGTGTAGGAAAATTTTTTTTACAAAAAGAATAAATTCATGAATATATTCATCTTTAAATATCAACATTTTTTTTTTTGTCTTTTCTTTTGATTAAAAAATCAATGAACATGTATCAAGGTATCTGATCTAAATAGTTTGTCTGACTTTTCAACAAAAAAAAAAATTCTAAAAAGATTCAAAAATTAATTTGGTAAATTTTTTTAAAAAAAACTCATTAATTTTACATGATTTTCCATTTTTGGTAAAAAATAATTTAAAAAATGTGTTTTTTAGTATTTATTTTTTGTCAAACTAATTTGTAATTTTGGGGAAAAAAAATTAGAACACAAATCTAGAAACTCAACCAAATAGAATTATATATATATATATGATGATACTACTAGTCCCTAATGGATGGGTCTGGTTGATCCACTCCTCCAAATTTAGAATAGTCGACGCAGAGTCACCATTTACCATTGTTTTTGCGAACCAAAACCACATTGGGCAATCATTTGGGGTAATCCACATTTTGGATGAACTATGCCTTCAGTAGCTTGTCTACCTCAGAGGCGATGAGAGCATTGCATTCCGAGTGAAAGATATGCTATTTCTGGCGGAAAGGTCGGAAATGGGGTCGATACTGAGACGGTGAGTGATGAAAGGCGGATCGATGCCTAGCATGTCAGAATGGGTCCATGCGAACACATCATTGTGCTCGGTTAGGAGAGCTGTGAGGTCGACCTTGGCCTAGGAGGATAGTTGGCTCCCGATTCTGGCTGTTTTGGTTGAGTTCTTAGGATCGATGGGGACTTCGACAAGTTCTTCCACTGGTTCCCCTCTGACTAACTCTTTTTCATCTTTAACGTCGAGTCCTTCGATGATCATAGCTTCCTTCAGCTTGACCTCTTTTAGTGAGGCGACGTAGCATTCTCTGGCCATCGTCTGCTCGCCCTTCACGGTGCCTACCCCAAGGTCAATAGGAAACTTCATGGCTAGATGGTATGTGGAGGTGACAGCTTGGAAAGCATTAAGGGTTGTGCGGTCAAGGATTATGTTATAAACAGAAGGACAATCGATGACAAAGAAAGTGAGTAACTTGGTGGTCTGTCATGGGTATTCTCCGATGGTGATGGGGAGATCGATGGAACCTATAAAGGACACCTGATCGCCCGTAAAACTGACTAATGGGGTCTGGAGAGGGGACAATTTTTCTTTACCGACTTTGAGCTGGTGATAGGCATTTAGGAAGATAATGTCGGAAGAACTGCCATTGTCGACAAGTACCCATCTAACTTTGTAATTGGATAGGAGAGCAGAGATGACGAAGGGGCCGGCATGGGAGAAACAGATGCCTGTGCAGTCGGCCTCCATAAAGGTAATGGGTTCAGTCCAGTGCTTGGGGTGTTTGAAAGGGTGATCGAGTGTGGCGACTTCCTTATTGGAGCCTTGTCTGATTTTTTCTAAGTTCGGCACGCTAAGCCAAATGGGATGGTCCTCCGTATGCAAGCCCGCCAGCGATGACTCTGATCTCTCTAACCAGGGGAGCAGGGTTGCCTTGGGGTTAGAGTTGTAGTGGGGGTCTGTCGTTATCTCGGTTAGGTTGTGGGAGTTGTCAGGGAGGGTTTGTTGGTGGCGACCCCCGGTGGGTTCAGTCCTTGGCCGCTGTTGAGGGCGAGCCGCCGTGAACCAACTAAGGTGACCCTGCCATATCAGATTATCTACCTGGCCTTTGAGGTTAACACATTCCTCAGTGTTGTGGCCGTGGTCCTGATGGAAACGATAGTACTTGGATTGATCTCGTCGGCTGGAAGGAGACTGTGAGGGTTGTGGCCATTTCAAGTTGTAATCTTGCTGGATTTGGTTCAAGACTTGCTCCGTAGACGAATTGAGGGGAGTGTACCGCTCGAATCGACCGGGCGGTCGGGTAGGTGCCGATCAGTCTGTTCGAGCAGTTCGATCAGTATACTGAGGTGTTTGTTGTGTATATTGGGTGGTTCTGGTTTTAGATTCCTTTCTCTTCTCTCTGGGGGTTGAGTTTTTGGTTGTAGTATCCTGGCGGGCGGCCAGAGAGTCTTCGGCGTTCATATATTTTTGGGCTTTGGAGAGGAGTGTGGCCATGGAGGTTGGAGGGTTTTTGGAGAGAGAGAAAAGGAAGTCGGATGACCGTAAACCAGCCATGAAAGCCGTCAAAATGACCTTGCCATCATTTTCTGCCACCTGTAAGGCTTCGGTATTGAAATGGGTGACGAAGCTACGTAGCGACTCCGCCTCCATTTGACGGATGTTGAGGAGCTGAGTCGCCGGGCGGCGCTGGCACTGAGCACCAATGAAATGGCTAAGAAAGGAATCACTTAGGTGTTGGAAAGTGGAGACAGAGTTCATTGGTAGCTGACTAAACCACAGTCGAGCCAACCCCTTAAGCGTTACGGGGAAAGCCCGACACATGATCTCATCAGGAAAAGCATAGAGGATCATTAGGGTCCTGTAAGTCTCCAAGTGGTCAGCTGGGTCCGTTGTGTCATCGAAAGAGTCGATCGAGGGCATTTTGAACTTAGGAGGTAGGGATTTGTCCCTGATGGAGGCGACAAACGGTGAATTGACTGTTGTGAAGGGTTTATTCTGTATGTTCTGCATGACTCCTTGAAGCTGGAGTTTCATGGCTCGGAGTTCCACATCCCAGACAGAAATATTGTCATCACCAGAATGCAATGGAGGCTGGACACTACTGGCCTCTCCTTCGGGAGCAGGTGCTTAGACTGATGGACGTAGACCCCGAGGTGGCGGGTTCATGTCTTAGGGTAGGGGTCGCAAACCCTCTAAGTTGGAGAGGTGGGCTTGTTAGAGAGGATGGCTCGTGGTTCGTTCCCAGTTAGGTGGGATATCCAGTGGTGGTGGGGGAGTCACAGGGAGGTCTCGCTAAAGTAAAGCATTGATCAAGGCTTGGTTTTGTTCAGCTAAGCGGTTGATGCTGTTGGTGAGTTCTGTGAAATACTGAGGTGGGTTGTTTGGGTTAAGAGGGTCGGCTTGGGGGTCAGCAACATTGTGTTGAGAAGCCATGGAACTCATTGTGACCATCCACCTTAGCGGGTGGCGAGAAGGAATTATCGGGAATGGGTCTCCGGCAACAGCGAACACAATCTTCACGCGGAGTCAAAAGTTCCTACAGACAGTGCCAACTGATGATACTACTAGTCCCTGATGGATGGGTCAGGTTGATCCACTCCTCTAACACCGTTGACTGGTCTCTCGGCTTGCTAAGATACCTGCACAAAAGTCCAACGGGAAACAGAAGTCCCCCAGCGAACCCTCCGACGAGCAAGTTAGAAGAGAGAGAGAATAATGGTGTGTAGAGAATAAAGTAATGATAGGGAACTTAACCTTCTTTTTTCCTTAGAAACCTGCTTATATCCTTTGTTCATCATTTTCTTGTCCACTCCGGCCTGTCATGTTGGCCGAAAGTCTATGCTCTAGCTTACCTTGTTCATGGTGAGGCCGTTCTGTTCCGACGTGAAAGGGTTATCGCATTAAATGCTGTAGGGGATCTCATTAATGGCTAATGTGTGGGGCAATAACTCTGCAGGATCTTTGTCTGCACTGCTGGAAATTTCACATTTAGTGGCGTTTAAAAAACGCCGCTATAGGTATAAAAAATGCCGCTAATTCTTTTTGTGACGTTTAGTATCAAACGCCGAAGATGCGGCCATCGCTATAACGTTGTGACGCTTTTAAAAAGTCGTTAGATTATTATAGGCGGCATTTTAAAAAACGCCGCTAAATGTTATAAATAACGGTAAAATGACGTCATCCAATGTTTAGCGACGTTTTAAAAATGCCGTGATAGATTTTTTCCTATTTTAAAAATATGACTTGGCACTACAGTGGCGTTTGGAAAAACGCCGTTACAACCTCTTTTTTTTTAAAAAAAAAAAAAAAAAGCACAACTAACTTTTATAGAAACACCAAAATGTTATTTTTAAATTTTTTTTTAAAAATAAACAAAAATAAAAATGATATTTTTCAAATGCTCTATTTTCAAAAACACAAAAAACAAAATCAAAGGTGCATGGCACCCAACAGAATAACTTGGAACACAGCTCCTTGGGGTTTAAAATGTCACATTGGGGTGACATTTCGAGGATTTTAAATTTCACTACTATTGTGGGTACATATAGATAATCACAGTAACATCAGAACCTTTTCAGCATCAGCATTTCTATATGCTTTGAACCATAGAGTTCAAATAACAAAAACTAAGCAAAAATCAATGACAAAAAAAGAACATGAACATGTTCAAGATCTCTTTACCAAAGAGCACAAATGACGAGTATACCCATTTCAAAACCAATGACAAACTTATCATTAGGGCACAACATATGCTGATATATACCAGAAGACAACATTTTATAGCTTATTTCTCAAGGAAAAAATAGAAAATTATGGTGAAAAGTAATTCAAAGAGCAAGTGCTTCAGACCTTCCAACTACAAGAAAAGAGCCCAACGCATTGTTGATGTATCAAACTAATGACTCAAACATAGCTGTCAATCAATGATTTCCTCATCTCATCAACAATGGCACTAGGTTGGGCTTCTCGCAACTTGAAGACACTCTCAATTACTGACAATTCTGTTGCTGTAGTATTTGATCCACAGAACGCTGTCCAGTCATTAATTGTCAAGCCAGCGGCTATCACTTCACTACCACGGTTCATAGTCCCTGCCACCAAAGGGACCTGAAGGAGGGTTGAAAGTTCATCCAAGTCTTCAATGGATGTATGAGGATGGACCTGCTCCAACACAATTTCCATTAGAAAGGGGACAACAAAAGAAGATAAAATTTTGGTACCTGATGTTTGATAAGATTGCCACAGATGCAGGATATAATTTCTTACCAGGCCACCTTTATTGGAGAAGGCACAATAGCTGCCCACAAGAATGTTACCAGCAATTGTCTGCCTAAAAACTTCTACCCCAAGAACATTTGCAATCATCTCCTCAGTTTCCTGCAATTCAACATGAATACAAGTGTAATCTAATAGAAGTTTTTAAGTTTTGCAACATAAAAAAGAAGAATCATCACTGCCTGTTGATGCCGACATCTACGTAAATTTAACAAAGAATCATTACCCAAACTGAATGAATTACCGTAAACTAGAAAAACACAATGCAACCAG